GTGGGTGAGTGATAGTCTACTTTGATTTTGGTTAAGGTAGATTATCATTTACAGTGTAATCAGTGAGGGGATTCTGCAGACTGTTGAGGGTTCAGCCTCCTGATGAGTCGGTGAAACTCCGACGAAACAGTTTGTCACAACCCCTCGTTTGTTGTCCTCTTCTCTCTCTCTGCCTACGGTTTACCAGACAGTTCTGTTTGTGACGATATATATATATATATATATATGAAAACGTCAATCATTGAATCGATCATTCGATCACTCCAATGACTCCGGTTTGTCGTGCGGGGTTTCTGACATGTCATCAAGTTGGTCACTCAGTCGCTGAATCGGATGTGTGTAAGGCGATGTGGCCGAAGGTCAATCTGTCAAGAAGTTCGTGAGTCTTTCTCTAAATCAGTCTCTTTTCCATTGCATCGGTGACAATGCAAGTCACTTAGTCTATCATCCGATGACTGTTTGCTGATTACAGGACCGGACGTGGTTATTTTCGCCATTTGGTAGGTCATCGTTTTCGAGATTGTGTTGCCGGCGTTGCACCGTCCACCACGCACCACACGCATGGCGTGGGAGAGGGCCGCCCATCTGTCATGGATGACGCACCAGCCAGTTTCACGCCTCATGACGGCAGGTCAGCAGAACAGTCACCCACTTGGCCCGCGCGTGGCAACGCCACGCCGGTGTCACCGCATGCCGGACAACGCGGTTTGCTGGGGGTATCCCCTTATGGCAGTCCGGATGACATGCGATCAACAAAGAGGCCTCGTGTTCACTCTCTTTCGCCTACGGTCGTCGTCACTCCCGGCGTTGCAGTTGTGCATTCTCCGTTGCCGCCCTTGTTGCCGTGTCCAGCGCGCCGTCCATACACTCCAGTACACCCTCTGTCGGATTTCGATGCGTTGTGTTTTCCTGTGCTGTCGCCGCCATTGCAACCTCGCCGTTTGCAGTTTCTGTTGTGTGCTGCGCAACCATTTCCTCCTCCACTTTTCGTTGGACGCGACGAGTTGGACTCCATCCCCCTAGAGGGGTGTTCTCAATCATCAGGAGCGGTGTTTGGAAGTGGAGGGTCCACACTGCGTGACGGAGGACGTCGGAGTGTAGAACCGCGGGTCTCACATTCGTTCGCCACATCAGGTCATGGGCAGGGGGGTATATTGGATGATGCACGTCGTGCCTCTGCCGGGGATACACATGACCGTAATTCCTCCCGTCGCTCTCTCGTCTCCCGGTTCGACGAGGATGACAATGTGTGTGGTAGCGGAGATGGGCCCGGCCGTTGCGATCCTGGCGCTCAAAATCTTGGTGCGGGTCGTTCTGAACACTCGGGCGGGTCTTTGGGGCAATTCGGTTCGCAGTCAACTGGTTTCTCGAAGTACTCTCGTTTGTTCCTGACTACCACTTGCAAGGAGAGACTGCGCCTTTTACAATCTGCGATGAAAGAAGTGAGCGACAAGTCTGGGGTCATGATCGATGTCGTCGACCGACTATTGCATTGGTCATTGCCAGCCATCCGGTTAGAGTTCGGGGACGATGTGGCGTTGAGGATCGAGAGAACACTACCGGCCGACAACCGTGCAGATGTGTTTCGTCTCGGAGCAGGAGGGGATGATTCGACAGCGGACACTGAGGATGATGGCGAGCGTGAGGGTGAAGGGAGCGGTGGAGGCAATGGCAGGTCATTTTGTGGGTCGGATGATTCACTACCTCGTTCAGGGCACGGGTCACAGCGTGGCCGCAGATCGCGTGGGTGGCCACCAAGCCGTGGGAGGTCGCGTTCATGTTTCGAACATGTACGTCCTTTGTGCTGGGACGATTCGAAGGATGGTGCTCTGCAAACCGGACCTTGCAATAATCGGTCTGCACATGTGTTGGAATCGATGGGGCACTGGGAAGGCTCGAAAGCGCCTGATGTCGTCTTCGTGGAGCCGGTGAAGCTGCTGCAGTTGCTCGGGTTGTTTGATTTGAGTTGCCCGCGCCACGGGGGCGGTTGTGTTGTGGATGTGTCCTCTGTCGGTTATCCTGGGCAAATTTGTCGCATTTCGCTCGCTTGTGATAAGTCCTGTCATTGGACATGGTACAGTGCACTGGTTGGGGGAGATGTGTACTCTTGCAGACTTCAGCAGCAGTTGTTCCATGCGACCGTCACTGCGGGTATGACATATAACATCCTCAATGACTTCTGCATCGTGTTTGGGGTGGCACCTGTGCACAAACCCACTTTTTACAGTTGCATGCGCGGTGAGCCGAATGTGCGTGAGGGTTGAAATGCAAAGGTTGTCAGGCAGAGCGTGCGGTATTGCGACTTGGCCATTGACACGGTTATGCGATCAGGGAGACCCGTCACTTTGATGGTTGACGGTCGCTACGACTCAAACTTTATCTTTCATTCTTGTAAATAATAAATAGAAATAGAAAGAAAAAATAATTTCAAAGTTCTCTATCAATTAAATAAAATAGAGTGTAAATGGACTTCGCTCTTTGTTGAAAAAAACAACCATTGTGTTCGTTTAAACTGTCTGTTTTCTAGTAGTTGGATCACCAAGTTTTTGAAATATTCCAAATTCAAGCCAGGCCTGCGCAACATTGCACTGTTACGGTGATTGAGTGTGATACTCGTCTTGTGGTGGGTGTTCACACTCTTCGGCCAAAAAATGAGGTTCTTGCTGTTGTTCGCCTGTTGAGAGGCTTGGTGTCGAGGGGGTTGAAGATCCGGTGTGTTGTCTCCGACGATTGTGCTGCATTGGGTCCACAGTTGGAGCGCCTGGGTATTGAATGGCAGAAGGATTGCCATCATAAGGTAAAAAACATTCGCAAGGCACTTAGAAAAGTCGTGACACTAAAGGTGCCAAAGAAATTGAACAACCCTCATCAATGCGTGTCGGAATCTCAGTTTATGCAGTTCACGAAGAAGGAGCTGTTGGATGCCTTGACGGACCATTTTGGACCAGGGTCTTTGACGGCAAAAGAAGAACGATTGAAGAAGAGCGACTTCGTTGCTCTTGTGATGAGCAAAATGTACCCGTACGGCACGATGAAAAWMAAHAAATCCTTGGTCGTGGATGCAGATGGTGTGACTGAGTTCCATATGCATGAGGTGGGGCATTGGTTTCTTCGTGCTTCCCAGCTTTGCAGAGATGAGGGCTGCGACTTTGTCACTCTGCACAATGATGTCATGACGATCGCCGACCATTGGGCCGGGGACCACTCCAGGCGCGTTGCAAAAAGTGAGTTTCTATGCTAAAAGGCGGGTGGCCCATCTCGGCTGCCTCTGTACATGCACGGCGACCCCGTGTATGACATCATTCGCCAGACGTTGGGCAGGCATTGCAGCACGACCGTTTGTTCGTACTACACGGAGTTCCGTCACACGTCGACGGTTGAGACCTTCCAGGGCACAATCATCATTTACGTGAAGAAGGCCTTGCACTTCGAGAAGTCGTATGAGCCGCATTTGGCGATTGCAGTCATTTGATGGAACAGTCATGCATGGCAGGATTCCTTGGAGTATCGTGTCCACAGGCCTTCTGGGACTTCGATTCGTCCAAGGCCGAGCCACTACCGTTACAATCGGCCACCTACCGATTCGTGGATGGATCGGTTGTCCACGTTCATCTTCGGTTCAAAATGTGTTTCAGATTGGGCTCGACGCCTTCTCGAGTACAACGACTGTGATGTGTCGGGCGAGGTCGGATCCTCGACACCTCCTCTGCCTCGCGATCTTTTTTGCAGAGGCGAGGATACCATTGCCCGTGACGAGGACGACGTTGCTTCATGTGCGGATCTCGACGTTGTGGGGGATGGCGATGTTTTCATCATTGGCGACGGGGATGGGTTGCCTGGACCGACGGATGCTGTGTCCGATCGATCATGTGATTCTCTATTGGACGCAGATGATGTCAAGTTGTTCGACGACTGACATCATGTTATGTCGTAGTATCTTGTACATGCGACTTTTATGTTTTTCGGCTTTTTAGTTTGACGTGTTGATTTTATATATATATATATATATTTATATATATATATTTATATATATATATTTATATATATATATTTATATATATATATTTATATATATATATATTTCCAGTCTGACTGCGAAGACTGATGGCGAGGCTATATACTACCCCGTAGGGTTGGATTTGTAATTTCGTTTGACTCGGGCGTAACCGTGAGACCAACCTGTGAGGAAAATTCGTGAGGGTCACATCTGTAAATATGGGAAATATAGGCCCAACATTATTTCAAATTTCCTATACATACACTTACTGCGAATAGCAGGCCCGGACTACCCCCAGGAGAGACAGGCCCTAATAGCCAGATCTGATGGACGGTCCTATAGCCTATAGTCGGGTCCGGTAGAGGCCTAGAGGGCGAAACTGCAACTGTATTGGTCGGTTAGTCAGTCCGGTCTACGTGTAGGTTAGAGTACTGTATTCTATTAGTAGAATGAGGGAAATCGATTGGGGACGAAGTGACTGTAACAAACTGTGTTATGATATTCATTCGAGTTGACTCATTTTCTCTCTCTCTATCAATTGTGATTTTGCTAAGGTTCTTTATTGTGATTGTTTGTTGGGAGTCTGTCGGAGAGTGAGAGTCATTGTGTGACCTCGTCGATGTGTGCATGGTAGAATTCCGCTGCTTATCCTTGTCTGTGTGGGTAAAAAACTCTGTCACCTCTCCCCCTCTTGTTATGCATGTGTGGGCGTGGTTTATATTGTATGGGTGGTTAGGTGTTTTAAAAAACAAAATTGTCTCCCCCTGTTCTTATGCATGTGTGGCCGTGTTTGAGAATGTCTGTGTGTGAGCGCCGGAAAAAATCGTAAGACAACCAAGTGATATATATATATATATATATATCGTCACAAATAGAACTGTCTGGTAAACTGTAGGCAGAGAGAGAGAAGAGGACAACAAACGAGGGGCTGTGACAAACTGTTTCGTCGGAGTTTCACCGACTCATCAGGAGGCTGAACCCTCAACAGTCTGCAGAATCCCCTCACTGATTACACTGCAAATGATAATCTACCTTAACCAAAATCAAAGTAGACTATCACTCACCCACACCAGATGGAAAACTCTACAGACTGTCGGTTCACGCCCCAGGACCTGTCTCTTATACACATCTAGATGTGTATAAGAGACAGATGGAAAACTCTGCAGACTGTCGGTTCACACCCCATCACAAGCCAGCAAAACATTCACGAAACAAAGAAATATATATATATATATATATATATATATTTCTCACAAATCTGATGGTATCTAATGTCTTGTGTTTGATTATTTTATTTTTTTTCCCTCCTCTGCGTATAGATATTATTGGACCAATGTCGAGTTACACATACATCCATACTTCACATGCTTACGCACTTAGGCAACAGTTGGATCACACATTATATAGCCGAACCAATTCAGATTTTCACGTTGATCCAATATTGCAATGACATTAAGTTGCAACAGTAAATGAATGAAGTTGAGTGGCGAGAGCGAGGATATGAATCGCTCAGACTGCATTGCCAATGGTACAATGACATACAATTGCAAAAAGAAATAAATGAACTTCAAACGAGAGATCGAGGATTATAAGAAGAAGAAGATTATGTACAGCAGGGAAACCAGATTTTACATAATGCAATCCCTGCAAGTCACGATAATAGGTAAGTACCGGGCCTGATGGTCTGTCGAACAAGCATGGGCCGTTACGAGTCACACCAAAAGCAACCCCCATGCTTAAGTTTACGATCGCGCACACAGACTCAAGGCAAACACACAGTCGGACTGACAAACGTACTCACACTGCAGGCAAGCATACCCCTCTCTCTCTCTCTCTTTCTCTCTCTCTCTCTCTCTCTCTCTCTCTCTTTCTCTCTCTCTCTCTCTCTCTCTCTCTCTCTCTCTCGATCTATCTATCTATCTCTCTATTTCTCGTGAAGCATTTACCGCCGTGCACGTCGACGTGGGCGCGCATTTTCAGGAGGATCACATTGTCGTAGTTCAAAACCTCGAATAATTGTATCTGGCCATCGTTCCCGCATTGCGTCTTGGAACTCATATGGCAATCTCTGTCGGAAAACGATGAATCCTCACAGCCGAGAAAAAACGACATATCCATTGTAACGATTCTGCTTGGGTTCGAGATTTGCACGACCAATAAGCAGATTCATGCACTGTTGCAAATGCTCCTCCAGGCCAGCAAAAGTCACAGCCTCCTCCAAAAGCGTTGCGGGTCCCGACCACTGGCTTCCAATCTCGGCGACTGTCAGCTCCTCTTCGCAGAAAGGATCAGTATCTGTCCCATTTCCAAATACTACTGCGTCGGCCCGCACGCCAGCCCTGCGTCGTCTACGGTCCATGTATTTGAAAGGGTGAATATTGTTCTGTAGCTTATGTGTGATTTTTTTGAAATCTACAAAACAGAACATTACGGGCACCGATTACCTTAGAACTGTACCTACTATACCTCCACATAACGAAAACGAAAACAAATTTTAGAACGCAGAGTAGGCAAAAAAAACAAATTTACTGAAAACATATAACAAACACATGGGAGATAGGGCTTGCATATGTATAAAGAGAGAATGTACAATCATTGAAACCATAATCTCTCTATCTCTCCAACAAAAAAGAAACTAAGAAAAAAATTAACGAATGATACTCATCGTTGGGTCGCACTGCAAGGATAAAACATGGCAGAGAAATCCTCGTCATTAGAGACAAAATAGGGCGGTGACACAACCAGGCGCCAGACGCCGTCCCGAGCAACCGTCCCGTAGTGTGTGTATAGTATACGATGCACAAGGGGGAATACGATATCATACATGAAATCACCGTCGACCGGTTTGAGATAAAAGGTACTGAAGTACGTGGTTGGCTTAGACATTAGGACACGAACGTGTTCGATGGAGTGGTTGCGAATATAAGTTTCTGTAGTGAGTCTAACGACTCGTTCCTCCTCCACATTGACAACGAAATGACGATCCACCTTCCTGTATCCATTGCGGTATCCCACTGCATCGCCGACATGATCTGTTACGGGAGTCATTGATTCGTAATAGTATACAGTGTCGCCACCTGTCAGTTTTGTGGTGTGGTAATATCGGACAATCATTGGCGCGCAATGCATCGTTGCTTCTTTCGTATGGCGTTCAAAAAGTGCTGCAATTCACAAAAACCGACACCGTAAGTTATGAATCTAACGATCGAGCAACGAATAACGCAAACATGATATTCTGCATGTACCGCATGGGGAGGGGGAACACACTTCAAACATATGTATAGGATGAGCGGGTAGTCGCGGTCTCGAACACTGTCGAATGTTAAAAACCTTTACGATTTTGTGAGTCAACCCAACTGTTTCAGACTAAGCATGAGACGACCGGGATGATGGTTCATTGACACTTTGGTACTGTTGTCGACAACCGTCCATTGGCAACAGAGTGCGCACATCCCCGTGGAGAAAAGTACGCCGTTGCAGCGGCCTGTCGAGTTTGAAGAAATACCATGCGTTGGGTGCTAACCTTTCCACATGCTCGACCACAACGACTGACACGATGCACCTTAGCAAATGACCAATCATATCGAAGTCGGGGGGCTCGCAGGCGTCAGGAACGACATCCGAAAGTTTTTTTGCGTGCATTACAACCTCATCAAGGCGATCATGGTCGTCGTACCCCAGCCCTGCCACGATCCTCAAAGCGAGGGTGTCATCGATGAACGCGTAGTACACATGTGTTTTCGTGGCGACAACCCCTTCCCAGTGTTCAAAGTCTCTTTTGTTTTCAGTATCGCGCTCACACACTGTCTCCCTCACGACGATTTTTTTTTTCATCCACAACCTCTTTCACAACAACAACAACGTCGCCCATGTTACGTCGTAAGGTTGAATAAGTAAACCTGACAATTACGAACAGTCTGAATTGCTAGCCAACGACACTGCGAAAGATGACGGCAACACAATGCGTACGATAAGCGACGGACACAATGAGTCCAGTCTCTCGGCTGTAAAAAATATATATTCATAATTACGAACAGTAGTACGTTCGTTGGTTAGTTGGGTGGTTGGGTGGTTAGGCGGTTGGGTTAGGTGGTTCGTTGGGTGGTTGAGCGGATGGATTGGTGGTTGTGTGGCTGGTTGCTTGGTTGGTTGGGTGGTTAGGTGGGCGGTTTGGTGGTTTGATGGGTTGGTTGGTTGGTTGGTTAGGTGGTTGGGTGAGTGGTTGGGTGGTTCGGTTGTTGCGTGGTTGGTTGGTTGGGTGGGTGGTTGTGGGGTTAGGTGGGTGGTTGGGTGGATGGGGGGTTAGGAAGGACGGTTGGTTGGTTGGCCGGTTGGATGGCCGGGCTCCAAAACATGGGGTTGTTGAGTGGTCGGTCGGGTGGTGGGATGACGGTTATTGGGTGGTGGATAGTTGGGTGGATGTGGTGGTTGGTTGGGTGGTTGGGAGGGTCGTACATTTGGGTATTATGTTTGGGTGAGTGCGTTTGTGGATTGGTTTATTGGTTGGGTGGTGGGTGG